CTGACGAAGGTGCCGTGAGCTGGGGCGCCTCCAGCCATTGCGAGAACGCGCCAGGCCCTCCCACCACCCACCCCAGCGACTAGGTGAGGGACCGTCCACCCATGGAGTCAGGGCTTCGCTTGGACTTGGCCACTTGCTTTTTTATCTGGTAGCAGCGGTTCGGTTGATTTACATTTGCTAAACAGTCAATTGTAGCCTAAAGCTCACTGTCGGTCTTTCTGACTCGCTTTGATACCATCACCGCCCCCCCTCCCCCCAGCAAAAGTCTCATCAGCTCTCCTCCCCTCCCCACCCCCCGCCCCCACTAATGACCCTGCTCCTCACTGCGAGATTCAAAACTTGATGTTTGAACCTGATTGTATCCGGCGTGGTCCCTGGCGTCTTAAGTGTCACAATCATTTTCCATTTCCTAGGGGACTACAAGGACTTGTTATAATCTTTTGGGTGGGGGTGATAGGGGGAGCAGATCTTTGGTCGCGATTTGTTGGTAGAAGAGCATTGACCTCCCTGAGCATATGACAAAAAGAACGTTAAGCTGCTTCTCCCTCTGGTAACCTATCCAAGGTGTGACCTCCAAAATTCAATTTTCTTTGTGGGAGGTTAGGGAGTTTAGATTCTCCAGGGGGAAGCTTATTTCTTGTTAAATTGACTTATGGTGACATATACTCCGTTCTGCTCTGCTCTGGCTAGCCATTGCAGATGCCATGATATTATTAGAGCAATTCCCTTAAAGCCATTACATTTTCTTCTCAGTGAGAGGACTCAAGGTAGCTGCTTAAATTTTTGGATCTGCACCTTATTTCTCTAGAAGACATTAATCGTTACTGTATATGTGCTCACGTGTACCAAGTTTGCAAAAGATATTTGTGCAGCCGTCCATGAAACGGCTTAATGCACATTTATGTTAAAACCATTTAAATGTAAAACATCTATCTGTTTTCAATTTTAGTTTCCACCTTGACCAAAGGCACCAGACTGAAACAGGAGTTAAAAGAGCTTTTCTTGTTTAAACAGAGGTTTTACAGAACTCTAGTTGGTAGAGCACACAGAAAGCTTTCTGAGCTTGCAGGCACACAAAGGCTGTTAAAAACTGTGAATTGGTTCCTTGGATTGAAAATATCAGAAATGCTTCCAGACAAAAAAAGGTAGCTATGATTCATGGGTCTATATTTTGAAGCTGCTGTGACAGCCTTTGTAAAATGAATGTTTGTACCACAGAATGTATAAATGGGCTGATTACAGGCAAATAATGCCAAGTAAAACACCTTATCATGTATTGCATCATGCTGTACAGCTTACATGGCACATTGAGATCTGCTATTATGGTGTCTGTGAGGAAGTCATTTTTCCCTCCCCTATTTTACAGGTAGAACAACTGAAGCTCTCAGAGATTAAGTGACTTTTCCAAGGTGAATAGCAGAGTTCCAGTCAAGTTTTTTCCCCCCAATTTCTTCCTTCCCTTGCTCCCTCCTGCCTCCCTTCCTTCCTTCATGCTGGGCTACACTTTTGGTGTTTTTCTACTTCTAATTTCTGCATTTCTTTTTACTATTCAACCCATGGATTCGCGAGCATTATGTACTGTTCCCAAAAGGCTTTGCTCTCAGCTAAATATCACTTAGCTCCCACTAAGGAAGGGGCTGATAAAGATTCAAGGAGAAAGCTAATTATGGTTTTAAGGAACTACCCTTCTCAAAGGGTATATTATCTTTATTAATGAGTGGTTAAATATACAAGTAATCAAAACCCTAAAGAATGCTGTACTCATGGTAATGTTTCAGGAAAATCAAGTGACTAGAAGTGGCTGAGATGTTTGAGACATATGTAAGTCTTCCACTTTATAAGCAGACTTCTCATAAACTCTATAGACAATTATAAGGAAGAACTAATAAATGATTATTTTATTAGTGCCATTCTTATTTTAAAAAGAAATGACAAAACAGAACTACTTAAACAACTTTGGAAACCACACTTACTTATTAAAAGTCCTGAAATCCTCATTAACTAGTGCACAAATGCAACAGAAGACATTGCTTAAAGAGAAATTATGTTTTAACTTGCATTGCTGATGAGGAGCTTACAGACGTCTGCCTAGCTAATTAGTGCCCCTCTTATCCCCAAGGGGTATATTTCAAGACCCCCAGGAGATTCCTGAAACCACAGATAGTACTGAACCCTATATATACTATGTTATTTCCTATACATACATATCTACAATAAATTTTAATTTATAAATTAGGCAGAGTAAGAGATTAATGACAATAACTAATAAAATAGAACAATTTTAACAATATATTGTAGTACAAGTTATGTGAATGGCTTTGGGGCCATTATTAAGTAAAATAAGGGTTACTTGAATACAAGTACTGCAACATAGAGACAGTCGATTGATCTAATAATCCAGCTGACTAGTTGACCAATGAGCGAGGAGCTTATACAGCATTGGTACGCTAGACAAAGGGATGATTCATGTGCTGGGTGGGACAGAGTAAGACATCCAGAGATTTCATCATGCTACTCAGAATGGTGTGCAATTTAAAACTTAGGAATCACTTATGGAATTTTCCACTTAACATTTTCAAACTGTGGTTGACTGTGGATAACTGAAACCAAGAAAAGAGATACCGTGGATAAGGGGGAGAACCGTATTTATTAAAAACCCATCATTTGCACATTTTTCTTAGAAAATTATTATTCGCAATATTTATTTATGATATTGCATATCATTTATTAAGATGAATAACATTAATTTTGTTTGCATTAATGTAGGTAATTTATTACTAGTAATAAGTCCTGGTTAAGTATGTGGGCTTTGGGTTCAAGCCCTGACTTCACGTATACTAACTGTGGGACTTCAGAAAGTGATATAACCTCTCTGTGTTTCAGCTTCCTTTATGTGTAAAGCATGAATAGTAATGGCACTTGCCTCATGTAGATTTTCAGTTTATCTATGCAGCAACATTTAGTGGGCACCTACTATGTTCTAGCACTGCTCTAGGTGCTACGGATACATAGACAATGTAAAAGAGAATTCAGTGCAGATATGTAAGGGGAAAAAATTGAAAAAATTATTTCAACATCAAATTACCCATAAGAAAGTGGGAAGTATATTAATTTCCTTATAGGAACTTATAATAAGAAAAACAAAGGTCTTGTATTTAAGCTCTTTGAAAACACTAAATACAGAGGGAAGAAATAAAGGAAAGAAGAAGAATGCTTACATACATGTAATGAAAAAGGAATATTTGAAGGGTCAGGTTATTAAATTGAGCTCATGAAGGGCGACAGATCTCAGGTACACTAAAAATGAGAGCCAAAAATGAACTTGAAAAAAAATCCTTCCAATGGTTTCCCAAAACAATAATGAAAGAATCTTATTAATAAATACTGTGGCGTGAAAATTGCGGAAGCACTTGGCTTACATCATACCAAACATATACTCAGAGATAAAAAGAAATATATACATATCCAGTGTACATGAATGAATTCTCTGCTTCTGCATTTGTAATATTCTGCTGTGTAATATTTCTACACCAGACTTTCTCAAGCAGTAAACACATTGGAGGTAATAGATTAGGAATTGGCAAGTGCTCAGGATATTCCAGACCTAATCAACAGACTAGATGCAGATAAATCACCAAGACTAGATGGCCATCACCCAAGTATGTTGAAGAAATTTAGTATGTAAGTGACGGTTCCCTGGGGGCATAGGCTGGCATCCTTGGTGGGAGCCTGTTAGGGGAAGGGTTTCATGGAGGACCCAGGAGCTATCAAGCCAGATCCACATCCCAGTGGACATCTGGGAGATCAGTATTCAAAACAAGCACAGATTATAGCAAATGCAACTTATTTTGTAGAAGAGGGGTGGGAATAATGTATAAGAGTTAAAGGAGGAAGTATGTTTGTGGCTACAGAAAATGTGATATTTTTAAACTTTCAAAAAACCTGACCACATTTCAAATCCCAGTTTTTTTTTCCCTATTTGGGACCTTTTTGTTTGGCAAAAAAAGAAGAAACAAAGAGTGGAGATAAATAGACACTTCTCTGGTGGACAAATAGGCTCTTCCAGGAAGTACTGGGTTGTCGGAAAAGTCATGACATATTTTTTCTATGTTTTTCACTGCAAAAATGCGTCATGACTTTTCTGACAACCCAATAGTTTGGGAGTGATTTTATTTAATTTTATAAATTTTTTACAGGTGGTATGTAGTTCTTATGTATAAGTGAAAACCAAGCCGATAAAGTGGAACCATAGGAATAACTTAAAAGACAACCTAAATGGGAAGAAAAATAATAGAAGATTAAAGTCAAAATGGAAGGTTGAAGATAAGTGTCCTGGGAAAAGCAATGCCAAGCACTTTTATAGGAGATTGTTTTAAATTCTGTTCTCATCATCAGTCATCATAGCTGGATAATATTCTGTCTACTCTTTTAAAAAAAGTATGTCCACCAAGTTAAAGTCAATATTCAGGAAAGAGTAGGACATAAAATTCTATATTAGTGTGATACCATTTTTAAAAATGCATAGTTGAGTAAGTGTATATAAATCCTCTCTACTTATCTGTTCATCTATATAGAAAGGAATGTGTCAACATATTAACAGTGAGTATCTCTAGGTGTGATGGGCTTGCAAATATTTTTGTTGTCTTTTTTTACTACAGTATTTTTCAAATTTTCTACAATAAACATGTATTGCTTCTATAAGACAAAGTGTTATGAAAATAAGATGTAGTATTAGAACCTCAGATTTCATATAGTCTATAAGAAAAGTTCATTTGATTATCATTCCTATGTCTTCTGCAAATCTGTAGTTGAAAATTTTGCCTGTGTTTCCCCCCAGATTCCCTGTTTATAAAAGCCATCATGTTTAAATTAAAAAAAAATTTTTTTTGTATTTGGTTAGGTAAAAGTGTGCGTTCCTTAGGAAG